AGCGTAATAAAAAATTTAAAAGGAAATTTCCTATTATTTAATCAAACCATTACAAGAAATTTCAAGAGAAACGAAACGAGAAATCATAATTAATAATTTAGATTTCCAAAAAAATTAAATAAATGCAAAAGAAGAATAAAATCGAGACCTTTTGTTCAATTCAATTTGTAGAATAATGAAAAAAAAAAAAAAAAACTCTCAGTATATTAAGAGTTTTTCACTTCTCCCTAGTAAGAGATCCTGCGAATATCCTTGTTACTTGAGAACCACCAGAAGTAAGAATGTTTCTTCAATTCTATTCCCATGAAAATATACAAGTCCATTCGTTTATTGTAGATTTGTTATTTCCTTTAGATATTTTTTAAACACTAAATCATTGGCAAACCATTCTTTACTAGACAATCCATTTTAATCCATGCTTTTAAGGTGTCATGGAGTTTCATAGTTAAATACAATAAGTGAATTTCGTAGACAATAATCGACTCTAACTTTGATTAGAGTCCCCTGTTTTCTCTCCCAGAAGGAACCAGGTTTGCTTCAAATGGCTCCGCATCAAGATTTAATTATCAAACCAACCAAAACAAAATGAATTCGTCCCATATGAATATTTATTACTCAATGGTAAAATTTAAGCTTAATGAATAATTTCATTCTTGAACTAATCGAAAGTGCCCATTAATCTTACACTAATCGAAAGTGCCCATTAAAATTCCCTGTAAATAGGCCAACTTACACTAATCGAAAGTGCCCATTAATCTTCATTTGCAACAATGGATATCAAAATCAACTTCTATCCTTATTGGATCTCCACTAATTGTATACTGTAATCCTATTAACGGTTGAGAATTGAAATGGAATGTGCTATACATTGAAGATTGGACCACTATGTACTAATTATCTTGAATTTCTATCTTCAAGTCTAATCTTATTCAAAAATTGGACCACTATATACTATGTTAGACAAAGAGCTCAAATGCTACATTATTCAAATTTAAGGATAAACCAACGGAAACAAAATGAAATGGTCCCATGCGAAAACGATTATCCAACTACTCTGAAAAATCGGGTGTTGTACTAGATACCACTTAACTGTTCACAGATTACCAGTTGAGCAAGTACCTTCCTATGACCAATAGGAAGTAGGTAGTGTTTCGGATTCAATGGATTTGATGTTTTTCCCAAATATGTGGTTGTATGATCTCAAGAAGAAAAGATGGAATCAATGTATGAATATGCTCTTAGATTTTCAAAGAATAATATGAATGTGTCTAGATAATAAGCATAATAAACAACCACACAAATTTTCGTGTTTAGGTTGCGGTATTTATAGGAGGGTAATTAGGTTGAATCAGCCGGAAAAATACTTTAAAACGGCAAAATAGTGTTTTCCGGATCGACCTGTCGCTCGAGCGAGAAGCTGGCGACACATGAACAACACTTTGTCACTCGAGCAAAGCGGACGACAGGCTTTCTATTTTTGTCGCTCGAGCGCCAACTGGGCGAGAAGCTAGTGAAAATGCGGCGCCGTGTTTCTCCTCTTTTCATGCTCGAACCTTAGCTCTCATAACCCAAGTTATACAAATTGCAACATGTTACAAATTGATCATTTTGTCCACAAAATTGCCAACTAAAAACCTAACATACTCCATGGTAAAATTTATGACAAAAGAAGCAATTTCATTATTTCATGTACCCTTAACTGATCAGAATTCCCTATAAATAGGCCAACTTACACCACTCCAAAGTGCACCTAAATCTTCATTTGTAGCAATGGATGTCCAAAGCAACTTACTGATGATTACTAGCGCTGATGAATCTTCCGTCAATGGTCAGGTGGGCAGTTACAACCAAACCAAGATCAAGCGCTCTGATTTTCCCGAAGATTTTGCATTTGGTGCTGCAACTTCAGCTTATCAGGTATACGTGTCACAGATATATTTATTTGCTAGCGTACTAGTATTTGAGTTTTAATATTATGAATTCATAATAATATTAAACTTTTTTGATTTCGGTTGAAGAAAAAAAAAAGAAGAAGAAGAAAATACATAATTTGATTCTGTTCTTGCTTTTGCATAATTTGTTTTCTGGGTCTCATATAATTATGCAGATTGAAGGTGGATGGAATGCAGGAAGTAAAGGCATGAGTAATTGGGATGTTTTCACACAGAAACAACCTGGTCTCTTCCCTTTTTTCTGTTTTCTTTTGTGTATATATTTATAATATAGACACAAAATAATATGTGTATCTGTGTGTGTTAGATATTCATTGCTAATAAAACTTTTATTGGATTGGCAGGTGGTATTTCTGACGGTAGCAATGGCTGTGTTGCTATTGATCACTATAATATGTTTCGGGTATACTTCAGCAATTTTTATTACGTTGTAATGCTTGGGTAAATGAAAAGATTAATGAGTTAAAACTCTTTTTCATTGTATTGTCTACTAAAATTTATTGCCACTTCGTACTAAACATGGACAAAGATGTTCTAATTTTCCCTTCATTTTGCTTATGTTAAATAAAAAGTTTGCCGCTTGTTAATTTCCATATCAATATTTTTCATATTCCTTTTGCTCATAAGACAACAGAGGATAACAATTTTTTGTACTCTAGAACATTTCCATGCAAATTGTATCCATCATATTTAATAATTCGCAGGAAGATGTGGCTTTGATGAAGAAATTGGGTTTGAATTCATACAGATTTTCAATTGCATGGCCTAGAATCTTGCCAGGCACGTTACTTCAAACTTTAAAAGGATTGAATT